ATATATAAGTATATATATATTCATGTATGCTTTGATTGCTAGTAAGGTTTTTGCGGTATCATATTTTTGTTTTTTGTTTTGTTTTTGCTGTTTATGATTATCCCACTAAAGTTATATATTCTTTTCACGTTTTTGTTTTTGTTTACAATAATTTATATCGCTTTTTGTTGTTGTTTGTTTTTTTTTGTAAAAAGGCAATTTTTTGCATAACATTATTTGTTTTGTTTTGTTTTTTTTGTTGCATATTTAATTGTAATTCTTGAGGTACTTGCTAAAAAAGAGTCTAAAAATGTTACTATGCGTTTAGCACTAAGTAATTTGTTGTTGTTTCACAAACACGAATTTTGTTTATCTTAAAATGTTGTTTTTGAATATTTGCAATAATTTGCATGTGTATGTGTAGTATAGATATAATATTATATATACATATATGTATATATGTATGTATTAAGAATTAGTTTTAGTTGTAGTATTACATATATGTATGTGTTTTGCATTTAGCTCTTAGTATCGTAAGTTTTTATCGAATACATATTTTAGAGTTTAGTTTAGTTTATGTACTTTACTTTCTTGTTTTATATATGTACGTTTATATAGGTGTATATAGTATATAGTATGCACTTAGTAGCTCTAATAAAAAATATACAACACACATAGTGAAACGCTTTAGTTTTTTGTTTTGCTTTGAGAAAATCTTGAATCAACTTTCGTTCGATTATGTTGCGTGTGTGCGTATATATACATCGATATATATATATATATATGTGTGTGTGTGTGTGTAATAATTACATATGTGTATGTAAGTTGTTGCACTTTACACGCCAAACTGCGTGTAGAAAATGCTTAACATTTTGTTTTTAAAAATTTGAAAAAAAAAATCGAAATCTTAATGTAAATTAATAAATCGTAATTCGCACTTGAATAATTGAACAATCGACAATCTTTAAATATTGACGAATATTAAAAAAAAAAATTCAGAAAAGAAAACACAAAATAAACATCTAAAATGGTTTCAGCGTGTGCGGCGAGTTTTGCTGCGGGCAACACTTGTAGCTGTTGTTGTTGTTGCTGCTGTTGTTGTTGTTGTTGCTGCTGTTTCCGCAATTTCCACAGTCTCTTGCAACATGCTGCTGTTGTACTGTATGATGCTCTGTTGCATGAGCATCATAAACCACCAGCATTGCGTCAGCTGCAGCTTCTGCAATTCCTGCAGCTCATCAAAGTTGTTGTTGTTRCTGCTGTTGTTGTTGTAGTCGCTATCGTTGTTGTCGTCGCCGTCAGCCGAGGCCATAAAAGATCTAAACGAGCGCAAATACAAGAGCATTTGATTAGTATAATCTTTGATCTACAGCAACTGAAATAGAAAACCAGTTTAAATTGATGTCTAGCTGGCATTATCGACTCACTCGAGCATCAATCAATCAATCAATCAATCAAGAAACAAGTTCTACGCTCTGTGTGTGATTAGTTAGGAAAGGAAGCTGTGTGCTTGTTGTAGTTGTAGTTCTAGTTGTTGTTGTTGTTGTTGTTGTCAGTGGTGGCCTCTGGCATCCTCGCGTCAACCCTCGTGCACCCTACATCAGGAAGCTACTCAGCACCATACCATATGTTGGTGGGCGCAAAGTGCGCCGCATGCTTGCTGGCGGCTACCTGGGCAGGACTCAATGGTCCGAATTGGCTATACTGCGACGGGATTTGAATGTGAGCCGGCAATGGATGGGATGGTATGACCTGTGAAAGGCAAGAGTAAATGTTAATGTAATGCAATACTGCAATAGATCTGAGTAAATCTCAATAAATACATTTTAATTACTTTCAACTACTCTAGTATTTAAAGTTATTGCAAATGTAATTGCAAGTAATTAACAATGTAAGCACAATATCCCATCATTGACATCAAAATACCCTTTATAATCACACTTCAATTACTTTTGTATTTACAATTAAATGATTTGGATAGTCAGAGGTAATTACATGCATCAATATGGAGGAATACTGCTTTAAATGCCATTTGTAGCTTAAGTACACCCACCTGTCGACTGGAGCTGTTGTGGGCCGGTGGTGGGGCAACCACCGCTCGATTCGAGTACGCGTAAGTGGGCGCTGCCTGGGACACATAGACGGTGGGCCTGCGGTACATATCGCCCTGCGCGTAAATGTCCGTCTGCAACATGGCCGCGGCGGCTGTCGACGACGGCGAGCCACCCAGCGGCGTGCCCGCCTGATGGTGATGATGATGACTGTGRCTGCTGTGATGATGATGCGGCGGCCCAGCGGGCGGCTGGGTGGCAACACCACCTCCACTACCACTGCCACCACCGCCACCACTACCACCCGCCGAGGCCGATGCTGGCGGTGGCTGTGATGGCTGCCGGTAGACTTGGGGCGGGCCCCACGACGGCGGACCCACACTGGCCGCGGCGGCAGCGGCTGCCGCAGCTGCAGCAGCCGCAGCGCTGATCGACGAAGAGCTGCTCGAGCTGCTCTTCGAGTGGGCCAGCGGTGGGGCGACAGTGGGCGCCGCATAGCTGACGGGCGCCACAGACGGCGCCTCGCGCTTCGGATGTGCCAGGGGCATGGCTGCCGTACTCGAGCCAGCTGCCCAAGAGCTGCGCTTCGTCTCCAGCTGCAGGTGCTGCGGTTGCTGCGGCGGGTAGTCCGGATAGAACTCGGCTGGCTCCTGCTTGGTTGGAATATGCGGCAGGCTGGCCACAGGCGGTGGCTGCTGCTGTGGCTGCTGCTGCTGTTGCTGTTGCACTTGTATCTGCACCTGCGGCGGCGGCTGCGGCTGATAGTTGCACTCGCTCTGCGCCATGGCCAGAATGCGCTTCTTTTGCGACTGTCCCGGCTCGTACTTGATGCTGGGCTGCGACTGTAGCTGTGGCTGGGCTTGAGGCGGCGGTGGCTGATAGTGTGGCGTCTGCTGAGACGACTGCACCTGCACCTGCTGCTGCTGCTGCTGCTGCTGCGGCGGTGGCGGCTGCTGCTGCTGTTGGTGGTGATGGTGATGTTGCTGCTGCTGCTGTTGTTGTTGCTGCTGTGGCTGCTGCTGCTGATGATGATGCTTGGGACTGCTGCCAGTGGGCACGGAGAGAGCGGCGGCGGCTGCCGCGTGGTGACGTCGACGCGCATCCTCCGGATCGTGATCACCTACGGTAACGCATGGAATTACTAGATGGACGTGCTGTTGTTGCGTTGGCTTATGACGACTGAGATGCGACTGAGACGTGGCAGGGCCAGAGGAGGAGGTGGAGGAGGACGAGGGAATGTCAGGAACAGCAGCTACAGGATTAGGACAGAGGTTACCAGAAGAGGAGGAGGAGGAAGTGTGTATTGTGGTGCTRTTCATGGAAATGGGTGCGGGGGGGAGCTGTAGACCATGATGGTTATGGTGGTGTAGTGGTTGAGGTGGTTGAGGTTGTTGTTGGTTGGAAGTGGAAGCAGAATTGGAAGTGGTGTGATGACTGTTGTTGTTGCTATTGTTGTTGTTGCTGTTGTTGCCGTTGCCATTACTGTGGGAGCTTGACTGATAGCAAGCCTGTTGCTGCTGTTGCTGATGCAATTGTTGTTGTTGCTGCTGTTGCTGTTGCTGCTGCGCGCAGTTGTCTAGGACAGCAGCAGCATATCCATTGCCATTTCCATTTCCACTTCCGCTTCCGCCCAGCGAGCCTGCATGATGATGATGATGATGATTATTGCTACTGTTACTGCTACTGCTACTGCTACTGTGATGAGGAGGAGGCGGCGGCAACTGCTGTTGCTGTTGCTGCTGACTGCTACTGTTATTGTTAATGTTAATGCTACTGTTGCTGCTGTGATGCTGCTGCTGTAGCTGCTGCTGTTGCTGCTGCTGCTGCTGCTGGCTGTTGCTGTTGTGGTGACTACTGTGATGGCTATGATGGCTATGATGATTAGCTCCGCTACTGCCGCCCAGCTGGCCGCCACATTTGCTGGCCAAACGCTGACTGCTGCTGCTGCTGCTGCTGCTGCTGGCATTGGCATTGGCATTCGCGGAGCTGTTCGGGTTGGACATGGAACTGTGTTGAGCATTACCATAATTAACGGCCTGGTGTGGCACGTGCAACGGCTGTCCGCCACTGCTGCGGCAATGCGAATTGCTCGTCGAGTGCTGCTGCTGTTGATGCTGCTGCTGCTGCTGATGCTGATGCGGATGTTGCTGCTGCTGCTGCTGCTGCATCAGGCTGCTGCTCGTCTGCGACTGCGCATGCGCGCGCTGCTTGACTGGCTGCACAGCTGCATCGGCGCCCTCGTCCTCGCTGTCCGATATGGTGATCACGTCGCCCACGACAGCTGTCGGCGAGGGCGTGTCGTGGATGGTGATGGTGGGCTGCTTCACGTGCGGCTGCTGGTGCGCGTGCAGCGGCGGCTGGCTGCTGCCGTGGTAGCTGGCAGCCGAGCCACCGCCATTGCCACTGCAATTGCTCACCACAATGTGGTGGCCGGCGCTGTTGTAGGCGCTGCTGCTGCTGCTGCTGCCGTGCGGGGCGTGGGCCGCCGGCACGTGGTGATGCGAGCTCGACGAGCTGCTGCCACTGGCATTGATGATATCTGAAAGGCAAACAGGAGATTAGCAAATGGAACAGGCACAGCTTACTTACATAATACAACTTAAATACAATTAGATGCAACGTCAGCTGATTTAATACATATTAATTTCAATAAATAATAATTTCATATACATAACACAAAGTGGAAAATTTCAACGGGAAAAACTGCGCAATGGGGCGACAAGTTAAGGTTAAACAAACAGACAAAGAGTTAACTATATAAACGCGTGTCAGACCAATCTGGGATACAGCTATGATATCAGCTAAAAGGCTATAACGCGGCGTAACCAATGGATTAGCCGACACTCACTGCTCGCTGATGAGGCGGAGCTGGCGGCGACGGTGCCAGGGGCGCCTGCGCCATAGCCTCCTCCCCCGCCGCCATAGTTGCAGTTGTGGTGGGCGTGGTACTGCGGCGAAACGTGGGCGGCGCGCTGGTAGCGCTGCTGATGCGGCGGCGAGCTCTCCTTGACGCGCTTCTTCACTGGCGACAGCTGCTGATGCTCCTTCTTCTCGTGACGCGGCACACGATACGAGCTGCCCTTGCTGCAGGATTGACATGGAATTAGAATTGGAATTAGAGTTAGTTTGAGTTGAAGCTGAATCCAACTGGATACGCACGCTAGATGATGAGCCGGCGACTCCTTCTTGAGATCGTTGCGCGGCAAGTTGAGATGGTGCTTGGGATAGATCTCCTCCACATTGAAGAGCGACGTCGAGTCGACGATCAACGAATGCGCCGGCGCCTGCTGCGGCCAGGAGGGCACCAGCGCCATCTGGCGCCCGGTTTGCGGCCAGGCAACGCCACTGGCCTGCACCCGGTTGGTGAGCAGCATGCGCTGCCCAGAGCTGGGCTCCACCATGGACACGGGCACGGGCACGTTCACATACTGCTGCGGCGGCACCTGCAGCGGCGGCTGCATCGTGGCGCTGCCCACAACGACGTGCTTGGTGGGACTGGGCATGGCCTGGTACGAGGGCGGACAGAGTATGTTCGACACCAGCTGGTGCTGGAACGTATCGGTGCGCGCCTGCGGGTACTGCCGGGCCACGTTGCGGCCGCCATAGATCTGGTAGAGGCCCTCGTAGGCCAGCGGGCGGCCATCACGCACAAGGCGCTGCACCTGGCTGGTCAGCTGGTTGTTGATCGTGAAGGTCATGTTCTCCGTGCTGCTGGGCACAAAGTTAGTCACCAGCGTGGGCGCAGGTTGTACGCTGAGCAAAGAAACAGAGAAAGCATTAGTGAATGCATACATATATGTGGGGTAAGTCCCGCTGTCCACTCACGTATGGAAATCGCCTCGCCGGCACACCTCCATCATTTGCACCGAGGCCTTCACATTGTTGCAGTAGACGTAGTCGACCAGGTGGGTGAGCCGGGTGAAGCTGTGGTTCAGCGCCTCTGCCGGTGTGAGGCGTCGCTCCTGGTCAATGGTGAGCATACGCTTCAGCAGATCTATGAACTCACGCCGGTCCGTCTTCTCGGCCAGCAGCTGGCCGCCCTCCAGGTCCGTGGGCACGTTCACCTGCCCGATGTCGTCCAGGCAGTTGAAAATGTATTTGCGCGCCTCCTTGCTCTTCGTGTTCGTCTCCGCCTCATGCTCCTCGGTGGTCTTCAAGCGCCAGAACGGATACGTGGAGTCGACGTCCCGATAGAAGAACTTCGATGTCTTCGAGGCACTGTTCAGCATGTGCTCCGTGGGCAGGCCCTGTGTTTGCGATATATAACGAATCTGGTCAAACTCAGAGCTGCCCGGATACAGAGGCCAGCCCAGGAAGAGCTCGGCCACCACGCAGCCCAGGGACCACATATCAATAGCCTCGCAGAACGGCAGGCCCAAGATAATCTCTGGCGCCCGATAGTAGCGCGACTGCAAATACGTGTTGCAGACGGTCTTGCTCACATGCGAGGCGCTGCCGAAGTCAATGACCTTTACGCGATACGGCTGACGCACTGGATCCACAAGCATTATGTTCTCCGGCTTCAAATCGGCGTGAATCAGGCCCAATTGCTTCAGCTTCAACAGGGCAGTCAACACCTAAGAGGGAGGCAGATAGAGAGAGAGAGAAAGAATATGACTAAAGGCATTTCTATCAGCTGCGCTTGTCTCACCTGCTCCAGTATAGGTCGTATGTACTTCAACGGCAGCGGAGAGAACTTGTTCTGCTTGAGAAAATCGTAGAGATTCTGCTCGAGCATCTCGAAGACCAGGCAGGTGTGGTTCTTATGCTGAAAGCACTCGAAGGCGCGCACAAAGTTGAACTCATCCGCGTTCTCCTGGCTGAGGCGCGACAGTATCGAGACCTCGATCTGGCCCTGACGCGCGTACGACGGATGATTCTTTAAGATTTTGATAGCCACGATTTCGGAAGTGCCGCGCTTCCAGCACTTGACCACCTGGCCAAAGGTGCCGCGGCCCAGAAACTCCAGGACCTAAATCGAAGAGAGGAGAAACATGAATTACACTCATATATAACTATAAATATATCGTGTTATTCACTAGTTCATTTAGTTGAGCAGTTGTATTTCTTGTAGTTCAGTTCAGCTGAATGATCACTGAACAAGTTCACTAGTTCATTAGTTCAGTATTGGCTTCTATTGAATGGGGCACCTCGTCCATTCAGTATACCCAGACAAGCTGACCGCTTGAGCTCAATTGCTTTATGAACTAGTTCAGCAGCTCATTTGAACTCTAACCCTACTATAAATGCCTATACGCACCTCATACTCCGCTGACAGCGAGTAGAGCACCTCGTGCTGCACCAGTTGATAGTCGCCATCGGCGCCGCTGCTGGAGCGCTTGCTGGGGGGCTGCGTGTTGGCATGCCCCCCCGATGTGGCAACCTTTGCGTGCGCCGTCTTGAGGCTGCTGCTGCCACCGCTGTTGCCGTTGCCGTTACCGTTGACACCGCCGCCGCTGCCGCCGCTGCTGCTGCTGCTGCTGTTGTGGCTCACAACGTTGTGAGCCGCTGCTGCTGTTGCTGCCGCTGCCGCTGCTGCTGCTGCTGCTACTGCCGCTGCCTGCGCCTGGCCGTGCCGCAACTCAACGCTGCCGCTGTTGTACGAGTCCACGCAGCCGCAATCGCAATCTGAAATGAAAAGAGAGGAGATATTAGTTATGTGGACCATATTGGCAGGGCATCTCTGCTATCGTAACAACCTCGCCTTCGCAAGAGCCTAATAACAGAGGATAGCATTCTTATAAATTCTCTTTGAAATTCTCCTCGAGCTGCGGTAACTGTGCCACAGCTCAGGCAATTGTAAAATGCGAGCACCGAACGCCGAGCAGACCATGCACCGATGCAGACTGTATATGTATATATATATATACCTCTATATATGCATGAGTGTATCTCTCAGTCAGACAGAGCTGACAAAGAAAGCGACGCGAATTGCAAACGCGCATTTTGGCCAATTGAAACAGTCGCAAATGTGGCTGACAAGTCGCAATAATTGTAATGGAAATAAAGCGTATTCTACCTGAATAAAGACATATATAACGATAGCACGATATGTGTGTATATCTATCAATCTATTTATATATAGATGTGCCATAAGGAAGCCGATGTATATATGCGGTATATTTACCCAGGCAGATCGTGGGCCATTGTTGCAGGTAACCGAGAGTCATCATGTCTTGAAACAGGTATGTATATACATACTTATGTATATGTGCAGATACACACACATACACGCATATATACATACATGTATGTTTGTATATAAATATAGATATTTGATTAAACTGGAACCGCCAACTGGGTTTCAGTGCAGGCAACATCAAATTTCTGCCGCTTAGGCCCAATTACCTGGGCAGAGTAGGCTCTATCGAGCGTATCAAATCTTGAGTGCTCCATGAGTGCATTCTTACTTCTGCTCCAACTCATTGTCACATTAATCACAGCAGTGCTTGAAGTGCAGCACCAGCCGAAATTAAATCTGTGATGCACCTATACATATATACATATATATAAAATAGAGTACACTCAGCTTTTAACTTAAGAGTTAAATGACTTTCGCTCAATTTAAAGAGGGAACTTGCCACGCCCCCTAAGGCGCTTAAGCTGCTCTTTGCTTAATCAATAGAGGAAGTCAGCAATCGAATTTTGATGATTCAAGTTCTTAAATTATCGATTTTTATTAGTTTTTGTTTTTAACTTCCTAAACCAGTATAAGAGACAGTAAAATATTGTATAACGATTCCCAAATCATATATCTATATGTATTTATATACCGATGTATCTCCATGAATAAACGTAGCTCCTACATTGGATAGAAAACTATATACTATATCAGTTCGATTGTTACAATAGTTTAAATAGAAATCTATATACATATATACGTATACATTACATAGTGTCTTTCTGTTTATTGATTTGTTTACCATTTCTAGCAATCCAATTAGCGAGAGTTCCAATTGGAAGTTCGCCCAGTGCGCAACAGCTGCATTCCTGATTAGCGTGCGTAGGTCAAAGTTAACTTCTGCTAATTCCTTCATTCATAACTCAATATATCATGCCACCGTCTTCTTCTTCTTACACCTGGCCCCAACCTCCATGGCAATCTCTCATCACTAATTACCTCATATTAGACATCGTCGACCTTTGCTTTGTTGCAGCTAAATTTAGAACTGGTTAAGTAGGATCATGCCCCTTGCCCTTCTCCTGCTCCTGCTCCTGCTCTCTGCTCCCGCCAATTCCTGCTTATTACATAATTTAATTAATTTGCGTCAGAGGACATTCAATAGAAATGCGAGAGAAAAAAGACATAAAAATAGCGCACAGAAGGACAGCGAGAGAACACGGAAAATAAAAAGAATTTTTTATAACACGAGAGAGGCGAAGCGAGCCCACGCGCGGAAAAGCCTGGGAAATTGTATGGCAGCCGGCTGAAGGTCGTTCAAAGGAGCTGGGGGATGGGGGCTCGGAGCTGGGGGTCAAAGGGCAGCCATGGCGGGTGCTGACTTAGCCTGCGGCTTTTGCCATCAGCCGGACACAAAATGTGACTGCGAGTTGTAATCAAAACGAAATTTAAGGACACACGCGATGCCAATGTCCTATACGAGCAGGGGGCGTGGCAGTTGACAGCGGAATGGGGGGCGCAGAGCATTTGAATGTGGCTGAAAATTTATGGCGCAGCGACTGAAAACTAAATGCAATAAATTATGCAAAGCCCGATGAGGAATAGCTCACAATTCGAAAAGCCAAATTGAAATCGAAAGGTAAACTACAAATGGACAAACTCTATTCTAATTCGACTAGTAAATACCCTGTAGTAAAGCGTGGTATGCTATAGAACTAAACCAATTAGAAGCTGGCAGCTGTATTTATCGACAGCTAACTGATCATCGATATTTATCTAGGAGAAGAGCAACAACAAAAACGCAGTTTGTCTGAGATGGAGTCTTCTTAGAAACTTCCGATAAACTAGAGTTACCACTGAGAAAGATTGACTATCGATATCGCTGTCGATATCGATTCATCTTCTGCTGCTGATGCGATAAATATAGCTTTGCAGCACTGTCTCTCCTCGGACACAACTGTGAAGCGTAAGGCGTATGCAAGCAGCAACAGTATCTGCACCCAAGGTCAAATGTCGGACAATCGCACAAATTGAGTCAAGCAAGCGCCCCACCACCGAACCACCTAATCGCCTGCCCGCCCCGCCGTCCCCACTGACTGAAGGCTGCAGGCAGCCAAGGCGAACGCCAGTGGCCAAGGACTTGCCGAGGATTTTGTATAACGAAATCTTTGCATCTTTGGCTCACGTGGCGCTGCCTCATGTCGCATGCTGCATGCTGCATGCCACATGCCACATGCCACCCGCTGCAACAAGTTACGTGTCGGCATCCCCTCTGCAACTCGCCTCCGCCCCCACTCGACTAACGGTTCGACATCTATTTGCATATTTATTGTTGAGTTGCACAATAAATCGAATTCGCTTACGCAAATCTCTGCCGCAGTTGCTGCTGCAGCGGGCGTCGCAGCCACCGCCCCCACCACTTGCAACGTGACGCAGTTTTGGCAAACAAAAACGAAACGTAACGGTTGTCGTTGTCGTTGTCGTTGTCGCTGTCGTTGCTGTTCGTCTTGCTGTTGCTTTTGCTTGCCTTTTGCCGTTTGCCTTAGCCGCAGCTTGTTGCATAAATCGCGACTCAACAGAGTGTAAAATGGGCGAAGACGAAGGCGAAGGAGGGGGCGTGTTATGCGGGTGTTGAACGTAACGGTAGCTGCTGCAGAGAACAAAAGCTAAAGCCGGCAGCCTCGCTCCCTTTTCTCCCCTTCCTTACACAAGGAAACTTTTGCTAACTAATGAAGCTGGGGGAGGAGTGGGGCATGAGGGATGGCCTCGTTATATGTGAGGTGTTTGCGCGTAATTGAAATTTGATGGGAATTTATGGAAGCGTTTAGTACAAAGTATATGAAAGTCAGCATATTACTTTCCTACATATACCCCCTGCATTTACTATGCTTTAAGAACAAATTTAAGGCAAAGAAGAGCGCTCCAAGATGGAGTAGCCAATATAGACAAGGCGAATTTCATATATGGGAAATTCATACAACAGATTTGAGCTATTTATCAGCATTGGAATATTGGCATTCCAGTAAATTCCCGACTTGCCTTGAAGCAGAGCCAAGCACTGCCCAGCTCCAGTTATCATTTGCCCTCGCTCATTATCKGTTATCGGTTATCGGCTGGGGGTTATATTGTTGTTGTTCCTCCTCTGGACTGGGTCAGTAAAATAAATAAAAGCTGTCATAATTATTGCAATTGCAATCCAAAAGATAAGACCTATTAAGACCATATACATCAGGGTGTATGAGTGTGTATGTATAAAGTGAACATAGGTGTATTACGACAGCTGCACGTGCAGACGCTGTAAACTAATAATTACAGTCAGAGATTGACGCAAAATCAACTCTTAGTTTAATTCTAAGTAAACAACAGCAACAACTGAAGCTAAACAGAATCTCCTAGGCGGAGCCGAGGGTGAAAGTTGGGGCAGCACAACTTTCGTGAATGCGAATGTAAATTGGACTTCATGTTGCATGTTGCAATTGGTGAAAACGCGACGCAGACAGCGGAAGTCGAGGGTGCCGACAACAAAAGAGTTGCCTTAAAAAAACAGCGGCGATAAAAGCTTTAAAGAGCAACAAAAATATTTTAAAACCTCAAAACGGAAGCGGAAAGATAAGAAACACTCGAAACGAAAGACACGAAGAAGCAAAGAAGGAAAAACAATACAAGAAATACAAATTAAAAAAAATATTCATATTATCCAGAAGCAACAGGTTATGTGCCATGAAAATGTTGACGGCGAAAAGCGCAGATTAAGGGGAAGCGAAACAATAAACATGTTAAAAAAACAAATGTTGCGGGCAGTGGGTAACGGGCAACGGGCAGCGGGTGACGGATGACGAGCAGCAGGAGCTGTGCAAATATTTGTTGCTCAAAATGAGAGCAATGCACGCATAGGCATTTCAAAATGCCAACAACAGCAACGACAGCAACAATGTTGCTGCCTAATTGCACTTTTGTTGCCAGAGCATGTCAGAACCATGGAGAAAGTTTCGCTGCAGGCGACAATAATTGGGCGAATTCAAGTTGCGCTTGGGCGTATGTTGCGGGCGAATTTACAGCTTATTTAAAACAGTGTTAACTTTACATAATACAAATATCCAATGACTGACGCTCAGCGAGCAGAACTGTCAGTGCTAAGACCCAAAAACAAAACGAGCCTAAATGAAAACTGGCACAGATACAAAATGGCAGCCTGGCAACAGCAACATGTTGACGTTGCGAAAATGTCGCCAATTGCCTTTCTAAAAAAATAAGGCGAACATGCCTTTTATGTACTTTCACAGCACAAGAAGAAAGATACACACTCAAAACAACCAAATAAAAAAAAAAAACAGCTCAAACTTGAAAA